CACACGGCAGGAGATAAAGGTTGGGGAATGAATGAATGAATGTCTGATCTCTAGCTCCTGACTATCTGCTCACTTCTTTGTTCAGTTCTGGATCTCTCCATTCTCAATAAGGCCCAGATTAATTAGTGCCCTAGCTGAGGGCAGAGAGGGGTTGGATGCTGGGGCAGTCCTGACCTAGCCTGACCACCCTGTTCTCAGCCTCACGGTCACCCAGCCTCTCTGGCGAGGACTGTATTCTAAAGGCAGTTCTATGATGGGGAGGCCGAGTCAGAATTAGGTAACACAAGCTGGGCTAGAGGCTGGCTGTAATCACCTCTTCCCCCATATTAAATACATCTTGACCAGGACAGGCCCAAGATCCCTCCAGCTGAGTCCTGGCCCTCAACAATGACACGTTACAGCACCATAGGAAACGAGAAATACTGTAACATCACATCATCGGCTCGAGGGTGTTAGCTTGGATGTGGATGCCTCTGTCCCTCCCTCTCTCTGTCCCATCTCTGGATCAGAGATGTCCAGGTGGTTCCAAACCCACCCAGCTGTAAGCCTCCATCCTGGCCATCACTTCTCGGGTAGAGTTTCTTCTCCTAGGGCCCTGATGTGTAGGACCACCCTGTGGGGGCTGAGAGATGGGACCTGGGAGAGGGTCAGGACTAAGTTTGACCCTCCAGGATCATCCTCCTTGCTGTCATGACAGTGCTGACAAGAATCTCTGGCCCCACTGTCATCCAAGGAGGAGGGTTCGTATGTGGCTATGCAGCAGGGTATGGAACATGGGGCCAGAGCCTGCAGCAGAGAGAGAATACAGACTCATAAGGGGCCAGCAAGGCAGGACCCCTGCCTGAGCATTCTCCCCTGCAGAGCCTGGGCAATAGAGTGGCCTCCTCCCCCCTCCTCCAAGGGGTGGTCAGTTACCATCCTACCCTGGTGGCGACAAGGACCAGGGAAGCCTGGTCTTCTCGGTGCTAGGGAAGGACATGCCCACAGTTGGGCCTCTAGGGAGCAGGAGTTCAGCCGCCTGAGCATAAAGACTGATCTAGGGTTTGCCAGGAGGTGTAGGCTGAGGAGGGGAGAGGATGAAAAGCAGCCCCCACCCCATGGCGCTGGGCTGGAGCCAGGAGGGATGAGAGCCCCAGTATTCCGAGGTGCTGAGCCACTCTCTCTGATACCCCCACCAGATCATCTCCCTGGCCCCTCACACAGTGGTGAACACACATGGCAAACACAGAGAACGCCAGGCCGCTTGGCTGGTGGGCAAGGCCATGGGGAGGAGGCCCCAGGAACACAAGATAGGCTCTGGGAAAATGGGATTTCCCACTGTACCCCAAAGAATGGGGGCAGGGAACATCCTAGCTCCAAAGGCCCTGGGGGTTAGTGGAGCCCACACTGCCAGGCCTTTGGGGACCCCTCCCGGACTTCCATTTTGGCCTCCCTTGGAGCCCCAGGGCTAGGCTTTCACAGATCTTGTTTAACTTGAGAAAGGTGGGGGAGGGGCCGAGGAACACTGCATTCTTTCCCATCAAGCCCAGCGTCTAAAGCAATACTTCTGGGTTTAAGTGATGCCGGCCTGTTTGTGATTATAGCCCTTCACTGGCTTTCTGGCAGGGCAGCCCTGGAACCCCGTAGCCCTGCTGATGGGAGGCACCTCCTTTGCTTGGATAATCCTGTCCTCATGTGACATGACCAAAGACATCCACTGGCCCCTCTGCTTTCAGCAGTTCTCCACAGCAACTCTTCAAAACATTAAAAAGAGTGAGGAAAGCCACCCCAAACCCCTGACATGAAATTCCACAAGTCTCATCAGATTTTTGCCGTCCCCAGAATGGTCCTGGAAAACGTAGGCGTCACCAGCCGCCCCACTGGTGGATGCAAACTGCAGACTGGAGGAAGTGACCGATCATCTTCCCCCTCAAAGGCCCTCCTCCACACGCAGGGTAAACACACTGGGGTGTACACACACAGGAACACACACATTTGCACACATGTGAATATCCTTGCACTGTTATAGCACAGAAATGACTCAGGGAAACTCAACACTATTCCTCAGCTGTTCTTTCCCCAGAAATTCAATATGCAGGCATCTGGCCTCCCAAAGCCCATTCCAGAGCTGTCCAGGAGCTCATTCTCCCTGTGATCATCATTACAGTCCCAGGACATTTGCGGCCACTGACTCCTTCAGCCCGTTGGGGAGAACTGGCCAAAGCCTGGCCTCCATGGCCAAAGCCCTCTGCCTGCTCTCTGCACTGAGGGCTAAGGAGGTGCACAGGCTGCCTCTTGCTCAGCTTGGTGAGAGCACAGTGGTTGGGGGCAGGGAATCGTGGCTACTGCTGCCACTCCTGATTGCCCTTCTGTCCTTCAGATGAGAGGTGGTGTTCAAAGAGACAGGGTGGCTTGCCTGGGGTCACCTGACTGACCAGTGCCAGGGCCTAGAACCTAGACTCTTACGCAAAACCCAGCGTTCCTTCCACAATGGCACACCACAACTGCGCGCTAGTATGACACCTACACCCTGGGGCAAGTGGCAATCCCTTGACCTGATGCCTACAGCGAGAAGTGGGTGTCTGCAGCTGGCAGGAAGCTCCTCCTGGTTGCAGAGCAGTCATGTGGTGAAGCCTGGCATGAGAGTAGCCTGCAGCCAGTGTTACACATGCTGGTGTGGGGACCCCAAGCCCTGCATCCTTGCTGTGCTGACTTGACACCCCCTCCCCATCACAGCTTCTTAAAATCTTGCCACAAGCAAAAGACGGTGAGTGAGTTGAGCTCTGGAGGGCTGGGGATAGGAGGACAGAAAACAAACGAGAAAGACACTGTCCAGAAACGCCAGGACTGGGTGCCTGGCCAACCTCAACAGCAGCCACACTCCCTTCCGCAGGAAGCAGGGGATGAAAAGCGCTGAGCAGGCAGAGCCTGGGTCTCAGTGGACTCGCAGCCATGGGGACAGCCCCCATATCCAGAGAACACCGCTGCCCCCCCCCCGCTGTCTCCAGTGCCAGGAAGTGGCATCACCAACACAGGCTCTCTCTGCATTCTTCTGCAGGGGTGTCTGAGGCCAGCCTTACCGGGGAGGTGAAAGAATCTCTGAACACCAGGCTGGAAGGCCCCAGCTGGAGAGCAGCCTGGGCACCCACACACCAGCTCCCCACCCACCCTGGCACGTGCTCCACCTCCCTGGGGCTGCAGACAGCTGCTCAGCATCTAGGGCTCAGGACAGTGTGGCAGCCTGCTGCAGGCTGGCTTCCTTTCCCCAAGTGCCTCATGGTGGGGAGGCCCTGACACTGCTCGGCTGGTCCCTCTAGCCTAGGTGCTGCCAGCAGCACCAGCTTGCCCCTTGTATGAGGCTGCCTGCTGCAGGAGCCTGCCCTAAGCCTGGCCTCTGGGGCTGGAAGCACCCAGCTGTAAGTGTCCCCAGCATCTAATCTGCTTGCCACAGGTACCCTACAGGTACAGACACAACTCCACAAGCTGTCACTTATAACTGTGGGGAGACAAGGACTGTTAGGTTACGCCACACAGCCAGTCTTAGGTGCTCGATATTTGTTGACTAACTTCACAAACTGCAAGCTGTGGAAGTAGTCCCTGTTGTAGGATTTCACTGAAGGTTGAAGGTTGGGATGGAAGGAGGGAAGGCAGCACAAGGTCTTTTGGTGATGGGGCTTGGGAGACAGAGACCAGAGCAGATCCACTGGGTTGGATACACAGAAACAGCATGGGCTGGGCCCTGATGAGTGCCAGTCAAGGCATGGCCTGGGCCCCACCCTCTCACCTCAGCCCTCTGCCATGGACCTGGTGTCGTCAGCAGGTGCAATGCTCATGACTTCTGCAAGAAACTGGGTCACTCTGTTTCCCTTCCCCTTCAGATCTCCTCTGGCCTCTTTGCTACACAGTGGAGGCTTCAGCTGACTGAACCCTGCTTTCTCCCTCTTTGAGGCCCAGGGAACCCATGCTGCAAAGCTCTCTGGAGTTTGGCTTTCCAAAGAAGCACCCTGGCTTCTCAACAGAGAACAAACTGCCATGTGTAAAACTCTCCAGCTGTGCAACCTTGGGCCAAGTCAACTCCCTGCTCTGGGCTTCAGTTTCCTCCTGGGGAAGGTGGAAAGCCAATATCCACCCTGCCTCTTACCAAGATGTTTTTAAAACTGTACAGTTTTTTATCTCACAGAACACAAAATATTATGATTCAGAAAGATCACCTTGAAAAAAGTCCAGAATCCCCTCTTAGCTGGCTCAGGGGCAGGCACTTCCCTAGGTGGCCTTCCCTTCCCCAGCGACCCTTGGAGCAGGAGTCTAAGAGACCAGACACACAAACCCCTGGCCATGGTGTTCAGGTTCCAGAACACAATGACCCATGGACAGCCTGCGGCAATGCTGATGGGACGCTCTGAATGGGAGGGTAGGATCTGCTATTGCACAACAGCGCTGGACCCCCACGAGGGGCTCGGTCCCTGTACAACCAGTACTTGGCAGACCTGCTCTGAGCCTGGCTTGCTCACACCTCCCATGCTGCTCCTGGGCCACTTCCCCACCATCTAATCCAATAAAAGCTTAGCAGAGGAAAAGGAATTTTAGCACACGCCTGAGAGACACCCAGCTAAGAAGGAAAATGTAGCCCAGACTAGTGCCACACATTGTAATGCTAGGCACACGGGAGCCCGAGGCAGGAGGACTGCAAGTTTTCGACCAGCCCTGGGTAACTTGGTGAGACCCCGCCTCAAAATAAATAAGAGGCCTGAGGGGTGCAGCTCAATGGTGGCAGGCTTGACTAGCATGCATGAGGCCCTGGGTGCAACGCCCAGGACTGAATGAATGAATCCACAAATCAATAAGGATGAGAATGTAGAGCTGGGGCTCGGACAATGAAACATCAAGATAGCAGCTTCACACAGCATACATCAAACAGAGGTAGAGAGAAGCCTGGGGACTACATGGGCCAAAAGCTTCCATTTTCTGGGATTCAAAAGTTCAGGTCCCAGCACAGGGAGCCCCACAGGACACTGGCTTACCTGCCTCCCCAACTTGGCAGGACATCAGAGCTAGCTGGGCTCCTGGCTGTTCCTGCTGTGAGGTCCAGATTCTAGGATAGCACTGGAACCCAGAGGATGCGGTTATGGAACCTTAAAGGGGTGAGAGTGGCTTCTCCGGGCCAGCACCAGGCACTGCCAGCGCGATCACTGAAATCCAAATGCTGAACTGTGTCCTATCAAGTAGCCAAGCAGTCTGCTGGGAAGGAGCGAGGAGGGTATAGTTTGTCAATTCAGAGTCCCCCAGGTCCTGATAGATCCCACTCCCCGGAAAGTGGCTGCAGCACATGTTGCTGTGATCTGTTATGTAACAGCAGAGAGACTGGGCTAGGGAGATCTTTACCCTGTGTTTCTGCCAGGGGTGGGCTCTGTCACTTCACTTGGGGACTGAGGTGGCATGAGTGTGCGGTGTGAGGTGTAGACAGAGCATCTCTGGGCGTCTCTGTGAAGGTCAGTCTGGATTTGGGAAGTTGGGTTGCCTCTGTCCACCTGGTCTAGGTGACCATCCATCCTACCCGTCCAACCTAAGCAAGGTGGACAAAGTGTCTGTCCCTGCTGGCCCCCAGACAGGTGCTAACAGTGCTCGGTGCTCACAAGCCCCTGGACACCTCTCTGTCCCCCCGATGGCCTTGTGGCCCTTCCTCTGTGGGCAGCCAGAGTGGCCTGCCCTAGGCCCCACTCCTCCCTGCTGGCCCTTCCATGCACAGGTGCATGGCTAATCTACCCTGGCTGCTCTGGGCACCCCTACACCTGCTTTGTGTCCTCATCCCAACACTCTGAACTCCCCTTTGCCTATCAGAATGCTTTTGTCTCCAAGGCCCAGCTCAAGGCTTCTTCGTCCTACATGTAGCCTTCCTGATGACACCCATCTTTATCTGTGCCACGTGGCCAGTATGGGGTTATCACGGGAGGGCCTTTCATCTCCCAACTTTACCTGGAGGCCCCGATCCCCTGAGGCTACCGCCGTAGGTCATCAATGTGACTCTGACTTTTTTTTTTTGGTACCGGGGATTAAACTCATGATCTTGCACTTGCCAGTCAGACGCTTATGCCACTGAGCTAAGTCCCCGGCCCCAACTCTGACTTCTGTTTTCAACCCCTCTTCCTGTCACAGACTGGGACAAGGACGGCTGCCCAAATAAGAACTCCAGGGGGGTGACCCTGAGCCCAGCAGGAGCTGTCCTGGCCTCACAGCCACACAGTAAACTCTTCGCTGCTGTATCCAGCTCATGACCTTCTGGGCTGAGTGAGTCCTCGGAACTACTGGTGTGATCCTCTCTGGCCCATTTGGAAGGTGAGGTTGCCCCAGTTCTGTGTCCTGACTGGTGGCTCTAATTCGCTGTGCTCCAATACAGATATTCTTTGTTTAAAGAGCTACCTGCTCAATGACTGGACTTACAATCTGTTTTTGGTTTGGTTTTTTTTGCACAGCGCTGTCCATCTTATTTATAAAGCTTCAATGTCTTCGGTAGGACACCTTGTTTATACGCCACTGTCACTGTTGCCAACTGTACTGCGTGGCAGAGTACTGCAGTTTTACGTTGTTATACACTACAGTACTGCCCCTAATTAGGAGTTATACAAATCGAAGCAAAGTCATTGGGCTGGAGTTTCCTTTGACCATCTCTCTGTTCTGAATATTGCAATGCACACACCATATAATTCCTCATTAGCAACCAATTCATTTAACAACCTAGGTGCAGGAATGGAACTTGGTTGTTAAATGAGGAATGTCTGTAGTGAACCTTTTCAATCAGCAATACCAACCCATAGCTATGGGTACAGTTATCTCCATTTTACAGGTGAAAAAATTCAAGTTTGAAAGACCCAAACAATTCTCAGGGGTCACCAACTGACCAAATCAAGACTAAACCTAAGATTGTCTAACTTGAAGCCCATGTTCTTCATTGCTAATCTACCCGACAATCTTATTCTCCAAATGACCTCCATTTCACGGGCTAATGCAGCGAGGCTGCAGGGCCAGAGGTTTGATCAGAGTCTCCACCTCTGCCCTGGGACCCAAGTCCCCAGCCCTTTTCACTCCAGCCAGCTCTGAAGTACATCAGAGATGTCCTGGGCCAGAATTAACTGGGGATTTTCTGATTAGTGGTTACAGCAGGGGCACAAACATGCTGCACTAGAGAAGCACAATCAGAGCAAATTTCTGAAGGCTCAGATGGGACTTTGTGAGGGGCAGTCACCACCTCCAAATGGAGACTGGTTCATGGGAACCAAACTCTTACAAGGCTATTTCAGAGATAAGAATGGTAGTTCACTTATCTGTAATGCAAACTATAACAAACCTGCTTTTCTACAAATGGCCTTTCCTATCTTTATTGGGACAGTCATTTCTTAGGAGCTGGATAGCTTGCAAGGCTGAATTGGCAATCGGGTATGTGTGACAGTTAAGCTTAACTGCCAACTTGAATGGCTTGGGAGCAGCTTAGGTATTAGGAAAGCAAACTTCTGGGGTGTGTCTGGGTAGATCATGAAGTCATGACTTTGGGGTCCACATCTTGTCCTTTGCCCTTTTTTTCCTGGCCACTATGAACTAAGCAGCTTTACTCTGCCTTGCCTTTCCGCTGTGGTGTTTTTGCCTCAGAGCTGGCTGGACAAGACTGAACTCTCTGAAATGACGAGCCAAGTAAAGCACTCCTCCTTAAAGTGCAGTGTCAGGTACTGTCCCAGCATGGGAAAACTGCATGATACAGGTGACTCCTTAGTAAGCATAAAATCTAAGCCAAAGTTGTAGCAGATACACCTAGGAGTCCATGTGTGGCACTGGAGAATCTAAAAAGCCACCACACGCTCACAGTACAGTCCCGCCTACAAGTGCCAAGTGCTCACATCAGTTAGACTCTATGGTCTGCAGAGGCAGAGGGTGCATATCCAGTCAGCACAGGGCCTGAGACAAAAGAAAGTGTTCAAAAATTGTGAAATAAATGCATGAATGAATACTGTGTTTCACCCTTGTAAAAACAAAACAAAACCAGAACTCCCCGTCCCCCCACCCCTAAATCTTGTGTGGAATATACTACTAGCTCCTTTTACCCAGGAGGACACAAAGTGTTCTCACTTGTAAGTCCACAGTTACCATTCAACCTTTTTTTTTTTTTCTTTTTGCAATGCTGGGGATCGAACCAAGGCTTCAGCACTGAGCTCCACCTCCAGCCCATAATCTTAAATCCAGTACTTGAATCCCAAATTCTTTGCTCATAGGGGCTGGGGATTTAGCTCAGTGGCATAAGCGCCTGCCTTGCAAGCAGGCAGTTGTGAGTTCGATCTCTGGTACCGATAAAAACAAAAAAGACAAAAAAAAAATTGTTTGCTCATTTGTGCTTGTTTTGCAGCAGACAGAGCTGCTAAACAAGTGAGTGGTTAGAGCTACTGTGATTCTGGGTAGCCTATCACCCCCATCCTCAAGCACGTCTTTAAAACCTGCTCTCAACAGCACAGCTAAGTTTAGCTAGAGAGCCGTCATTTTCCATCCAATGCTTCTCCCAAACACAGCTGGCTGGATGGCACTGGATATCTAATCCATTGCATGGCCAGGAACCACTCAGATTCAAACTCCTTTTTCTTTTCCTTTTTTAAATAAATTGCTCTATTCCTCAGGGGTCTACCGCATAGACTCAAGAGATCCTGCTGCCTCAACCTCTCAAATTGCTGGGAAACTACTTGGCAGTTTGAACTCAGAGAACCAGAGGTCATAGTCAGTTACTGGTTACTTCCCCAACTGAGGAGCTATAAAGAGTCTGGAGCTGACAGGCTGAGGTCTTGGCTCAAGAAGAGAAGGCAAGGCTGGCTCACAGCAGAGGAGCACAACTGTATTTCCGGTCCACATGGTACCCAAAAGAGAGACGGGGACAGACTGGTTGCTCTGCCTTGCATCACCTTTCTGTTCCATCCCTGTCTCCTGAGGCTGGGATTTACTTGCAACCTTGGGTCTAGAGAGAGATCTCTGCATTCTTTCAATACTCTTTTGAGCCAAGGTAGAGTAAGTCTCCCTCCTCTGCTCACAGCTCAACTGAGACCAAAGTATTGGATTTGGAAAGGGGTGAAAATTCTGAAGACTCAGTTTTCTCATTGGTAAAATATGTAGCTAGACCAGAGGAACTCAGAATTCCTTGCTTCCAAGGGAGTGTAAGAATCTTTCAGCTATCCTGCCAGTGCCAAGAAATAAGCTGAGATTCTGCGCAGGAAAGCTGAGGCAGGAAAAATTCTGTTGACTCATTTCCCTGCTTCCTGTCCTGGCCTGTAGTCCCTGAGGAGGAGGAGGAGGAAATAATCCTGGAAAGTTGGAGGCAGTTTTGCTCACAGTGGCCACATCTCTGACATCACCACCTTGCAGACGTCAGACCAGGGATGCCTGCAGGAAGGTAAAGCCAATGTGGTCTTTGAGGCACAAGGATGTCTTACAAAGAAAGCATCTTGATACTGATGCACGTGTCAAAGTGGGAGGATTTCCACAAACAGAGCCAAAAAGCGTGCTGCATGCCCTGGTATGGCCTAATGACAAATGCACACAGCTGTTTAAACGTTTTGCTGTCCGTAACCCTGTTACACAGTGGAGGGGGAAGAAAGCAAGTCTGAGCAAAATCCCTTTTCCTAAGCTCCCAGGTCCACTCTGAGTGTCTGCTGTTTCTGCCCCTCTGTGTTTCTGAGATAGACAGGCTTATCTGGGAACAGATTGCCTTCCAGAGAGATCTCAGCTGCAGCCTGCCTCTGCACTCAGAGGATCAGTCAGGAGCGGGAGCCACTACTATCCACAAGCATTGACTGGCAGAAACACCCTTCAGCAGGGGTTTCGGGGAGCTCACAGACACCTCAACTATCCCAGCTTGCGGCCCTGCCAATGCACGCTTACTGGACTTTTGGCCCTGATCAGCCTGCTCTCAGGATCCCCCAGGGCCCTGGAAAGGGGACCAACCTCCAAGTTTCCACATCAAGACAAATTACTTAACTCCTCTGCCTGTTCTTCAGCTGAAAATGGTTCCAGTGCCTTCTATGCATGGGCTGTTCCGTGCCTCTGGTGGAGGGGTTCTGTGACGTGCAGGGCCCAGCGCAGCCTTCAGACACATCTCTTCAGAAAGAGGGTAGCAGAGACTTGCTGGCCTGCTCACAGCCACCCTCCAGGCGCCTGTGGTCCCAGCCAGAGGCCCCTGATGGGCAGGCATAGACCTTCCATCTGAGAGACTCCCAGTAAGCAAGAAGGCACACGGACAGAGACCTGGCAGCCAGTGGAAGGCAGGAGGTGCTGACTAGGGCTATCACCCCAACAATGCCACTGGAAATGTCTCAATTCACCCACATGTCCCAGGTCAAAGGCATTACAACGAGGTCTTTGTTCCAGAGTTCAAAAGCCTTCTCACTCACCACTCCTTGCCAAGCCAGCTCTGAAGGATGCACAAGATGCCTCCCCTGTCCCACAGCTGGCCTCCCGCTCCCTCTTCAAGGTACCACCTCCCAGGACCTGAAGTTCAGCCCTCTTCCCCTGATGGCTCAGTGTCTCTGTCTAAGCTAGCTGTAAACCCCAGGCCTGCTGGCTCTTGATGGTGACAGGGTAGGTCTGCATGGGGACCCTAGCACATTTCATGACCCTGTGTAAATAGCTGTGGTTGAGCATCTGTCTCCACCAGAGAAACAGAAAAGCCACGTACAACCAAGGATCTCTGCTGATACCCAGGCCACTAGTGAGTTACCCAGCCACGGACTCAGACCTGGGTGTCAGCAGAGAGGTCATCTGCTCTGCTGTCACTTTCACCACGTGGCCACAAGGATACCTCCATTTCATAGAAGGGAAAACAAGCCATACAGCTAGTGGGTGGTGGGCAGAATCCCGACTGTGGGAACAGCATCTCCTCAAAGGATGTGTACCAGCCTGGGCAGCCACAGGTGATGCTGGGAACAGGAGCCCTGGGGCCCCTCAACCAGCCATGGGTAACTTTAAGCAGATTAGGGGGTGCCCAGCATGTCCAGGATTAATGCTGATGCCTAATTTTCCTAGGCCCTCCTTCCCCAGTGCCAGGCAGGACTCTTTAAGTATTCCTAGGATGCTGGCTATGGGATGGGGAAAGGGAAAGGCACCACAGCTCTGGGAATCACAGGGCCTTAAAGCAGGACAACCTTCCTTACATGTGACTGGTCCCCAAAGACTCCTCAGGGATCCCCACCTCCTGCTGTTGTATATAGCTGTGATGAGTCATGCTGGGCAGGAGGTAGTGGATCCGCAAGCCAGCACTTCCGGGAAGAACTGACCTAACACCAAGGTGGGCCTCTGTCTCTTTCAGGTGAAGGATCCCGAGCAAACAAGCAAGCAAGCAAGTACCCCCTGCCCTGGCACCTCACATTCTACCATGAGACCCCCTCTCTCTGGGTCTCAGGACTTCACAGCCAGTAGCGCCAGCTTCCTTTGGGAGAGGGGAGGGAGCTGAGAGCAGGACCAAGACTGAGGACAAAGTTGTGCAGGAAGGAGACCATGGTGGCCACTTGGAGACAAGGGCCAGGCCTTACTCTAGGCACTCAGACTGGCTAGTGGGCAGTACTACTGCTAACCACCTTGCCAAGGGCTGAGCCTGGCCTGAGAGGCATGGAGCCAGAGGCACCTCCTTGGCCTCTGGACAGCTACCTGCTACCCAGAGCACAGAAATCAGGTGCCAGGGACACCCAGGCCGCTTCTACCCTCATGAGACTCGCTACCTCCATCGCTCTGACCTTACACCCACAGCTACTGCCCTATGCATCAAATGGCCTGGAGGTTCTTTGCTTTCTTTCAGGTTTCAAAATCCTGGAATGGTACTGAGGGGCAGGGGTGGAACAGGCCCACCCCTCTGGGACTGTACACCAGGCACAGGCCAGAGATGCTGCTGCACATGGGGGCTGGCCCCAGCAAATAAACTGAAAGCGAAACCAGATGTGAGGAGTCAAGTACAGAACTGCCCAGCAGGCTGAGGACGTACCCCTGGCCATGGCCATGGCCCAGAGCCCAGGGCCCATCCTGGCCCTGCAGGGGCCACACGAGCCCACTGGAGACTGGCTGCCAGACTTGTGCTCTCCTTTCTCCGCCTGCTGTGACTTGTGCTACCAAGGCACTCTGGCCCACTCTGTAAGAACCGGGGACCCAGAGAACCCTCCAGGAGCCGACAGCATGGCTGAACCCTGTACCAGCTCCTAAAGAAGACAGTTCTTGTGGAACCCTCCTTGGCCTGAGTCCTGGCTTCATCTGCTGCCTGGGCCCTTGTCCCCAGGTCCCAGTGGATTCCAGCTCACTGCTCAGACATCAGCCAGACAATTCACCTGGGGCCTGGGGCTCTGGACCCTGCAGTGACCATCAGGGCCTCCCTCCTCCGCTCTCAGGTGGCTGGCTCCCCCTGCCTTTGCCTCAACCCTGGCTTGAAAGTTCGTCCCAACAGGGGAAGCTGCTATTGGGCACCCCTTAGCTGGAAGCTACCTTCTGCACAGGCCTTGGGTGGCACAGGTCTCTGAGCAGGGCTGGGCACCTATACCCAAACTGCCACCCTGCCTTTACGTTAACAAAAGCCACTTAATTATCCTGAGCCGGGGAGACATTCTTCCACCACCAGGCAAGCTACTGGCCTGCAGCCCAGACCAACAGGGGGACCCTCAGCTTCCTGGCCTCTCCCTGCCAGATGGAAATAACGTATAGCTGCAGAGGAGGGGGAGGAAGGAGGGAACAAAACCCCCACATAGCCCAGGAGCCTGGCCGGAGCCTGCATGGACCATCCCAGGGCCACTGGGCACTCACCACTCTCGTTCTTCTCGATGACATCTACCACCTCCCCAGCCTGGAGGCTCAGTTCTGAGTTCTCCTGCTTCTTATAGTTGGACACCACCACATACTGTTCCAGGATCATGGGCTCGGCGTTGGTGTCGGCACCTGGCGAGGGCAGAAAGCACGCGGTGAGCCATCGGCTGGCCATGGCCCCGCGGCCAGGGCGCCCTCTGTCCATCGGCCTCGGGGGAGGCTGCTGGGTCGCCAGCGCTGCTCCGAGGGACAGCCCGCAGCCAGGGCTTGCAGCTTGACGGGCCCCAAGCACAGGCCATATAGCAGGGCCCCACACTGGCCCGCTGCACGGCAGGGACCGAGGGACATGGGGAGCCGGGGGACAGGGGAAGGAGTGGGGGAGGAGAGAGACAGAGGCAGAGGCAGAGGCCAAGGAAACTGAGGGAAAAGCCTTCCGCTGTGCTGAGTTAGTCACAGGCCGGCATGGAAGAGGCCAGGAGAGGCTGGGGACTGCGGAGGTCTCTGCAGACCTGGGCCGGCAGGGGAGTGTGGGGAAGTCGGGGCATGAGTGGCTGGGTGGGTGGGTGGCCCATGAGGGCTGAACAGTGCAGGAGAGAGAAAGAGAGGGAAGAGGTGGCCAGGAGGAGGCCCCTGCCTCTACCAGAGCCTGGAAACCCAGAGAGAAAGGCAGCCCTGCTCCTTTAGGGGCGGGAGAGGCCTGGTGAGGCGGCCAGAGGGTTTGAGGCCGCCAATCGCTGGGGTTTACTCACAACCCTTAAATAGAAACACATGAAACCCGTCGAATGAGGAGCCGGGGGGTGGAGGCAGGAGAAGGGAGGAGGGCCCAGACTGTTTACTTGAAACTCAAGCAAGTCCCAGCGCCAGCACTGGCCAACCCCCCCCCCCCCAACTTTTCCTGAAGTTCGGCTCCAGGCTCCATTCCTGCATTGCTGGCTCAGGAAAGGCTAGGCACGGATGGCCTGGGGCCTCCGCTGGCTGGCCGACCTGCCCAGCCCCAATTCCAGAGACGCCTTCCTGGGTGCAGCAGCTGCCCTCTTGCTGCATGCACCAACTCAGTCTCCCTCTGCCCTGCAGTACTGGGGCTCCAGCAGCCTCTGGCCAACCTTCCCAGCAGTTTCAGAAACTGAAGGGGTCAAAACCTGGGGTGTAGCAGGGGGAGGGGCCCAGAACCCCAGAAGCAAGTGCCTTCTCTGCACCCCATGGCCACTGGACCAACGGACAGTCATTTGCGAGCACCTTTCTGGAGGGTGGACAGCCCGGGGCTTAGTGATCATACGGACTGGACAGGTCATGTTAGTTTCCATGTGCTTCAACCATTACCGTGCCCAACACCTAAGATGCTCCATGCCCTGTGAGGGGAGAGCAGAACCCACAAGCTAGAGACCGACAGTCCCCTCCTTCAGGAAGTCTTCCCACCCCAAGCTCAAAGCGAGTTTGTGAGTTTGCGGTACAGTTAAACCATGCATCTTCCAGGCAGGCCCAATGACACACCCGTAGCCTCAGCAGTTTGGAGGTAGAGGCAGTGGGATTACTCAAGCCCAGGAGTCCAACACAGGCCTAGGCAACACAGCAAGATCTTCTGTTTCAAAAACAAAACCCCATGTCTGCTAGTCTCCTTGAAGGCCGCAGGGACCATTCCTACTAACTTGGCCCTAGGAACGGCTGAGGGTCTTGAGGCTCCACATGGCCCCCTGGCCCACAGCCACATCCCCCATGCACCTGAATCCGACTTGCGTGTGCCAGTCATGTTTCTGGCCCACCTCACCTAACAACTCCCCTCCTGACTTTCGGTTCCACAGAGCTATCAGAGGCTCGGACAGGGCAGGAAACCCACCCCATTTCCCAGAGTGTACAGAGAGAACCAAATCTCCTCACTGTGCTTTAAGGTTCAAACCCATCTCTCTTTACAGAACAACATTCTTGGACCTGTTTCCAGACACACTGTTCCTCCTGCATGATGTCCCTGCACTCGATGGCAAAAGAGTCACCTGAGGGGCTTTTAAAAAATGCTTATGCCTGCTGGACATAGTGGCACTCACCTGTAACCCAGCACCCAGAGGGCTAAGGCAGGAGGATCACGTGTTCTAGACCACTTTGCATACCCAGGGATACAGAGGGAGACCCTGTCTATAACATCAAATCAAACCAAATAAAGCCCTCCTGCCTGTGCCTCAGAGGGTCAGTTCAAATTGGTTGAGACCTAGATCTAAGGACACAGTTAAGGCCCTATGGCTTGTGGCTCTGGCGTGCAGCTGGAGTGGAAGCACTGCTTAGATCCCTGGGTCTTCTTCTGAGGAGGCTCTATCTACCCCAGAGCTGGGGGTAATGGCCACAGAGCTCTGAGAGACCCCAAGGTGGACCCTTCTCAGAAGGGAAAGAACTCCACTGCCTTGATGGCTTTCTGCCATGCCGCATAGATGCTATAGCCCATGGAGGGCCTCTGGAAACCTGGGGAAGGGCACTGTCTTAGCTAGGAGGGTGCCATAGGGATGTACACATGCAACCAGACAGCTTGTCCAAAGCCAGGATTGTATTTCAGGCAGAAAGGCAACCAAGAGCCGGGCAGCTGGGCTGGCCCCTTCTGTGCATGGAGAAATCCATATTCCACTCCCCCACCCCTACCTTCCTAGAAAATCAGTCTGAGCTCTCTGGGGGCCGCCAACACTCTGGGACACAGGTAGGCTAGCAGAGAGAATGTCCTCCAGCTTGCAGAGTGCAGACAGGCTGCGGCTACCCCAGGCGCTGGGGACAGATACACCACAACACACACTGCTGTCCTCCCAGCAGCCCTGCCCACCTTGTCACGAGCACAGGCTCCCAGCTTGGCATCTGCCTCTCAGGGTGCTGGGACTTGGGGTTCCCTGGGCGGAGCAAGCAGGCAGGCTCTAGGAGCAAGTCTCCAGATGAGAAACCACCGGGAGGCCTGGAGACCTGGTGGCTGGTAGGCAGTGATGTCATCCCACAGAGGCGGCCCTGGATCCCTCCCAGTCAAGGTCCGGAAAATTGGGGGTGGAGGAATCTGCTGGTTGGGGGGGGGGTGCGGGGGCAGCGAGTCTTCTATGTTCAGACAGAGGCTTTGGCAGGAGCAGGAGGAGGGGCAGACCTCGTAGACAGCAAGGCCTCTCCCTGAGAAGCGGCTTTGTCTGCCTCTTCTTCAGGAATGGGTCCTTGTGCTTCATTGCAGAGCCATGCTGGGCCTCCTGGGGCCCTGAGGTCTCCGCTCCACCCTGTGCCTCACACCTGCCATTGCTTCTACCACCACCTTGTTCCTGCCTAATCCTGGCTGACAACTTTAGCTGCTAAGCTAAGCCTTTGCCAAGTTAGCCCTGTGCTCCAGCACCTTCACTGGCTCCCATGCCTAAAGAACAAAGGCCAAATTCAAGCTCCTGTCACCTTGCAATCCGAGCTCCTGAGTCCCCTCCCCCTGGGGCAGTTTCATATATTTATGATTCACACACATGTGCTGGACACCTACTATAGGCCACCAACACTGTTCCAGGCACGCTCTTTCCTTTTAAGCCTTTGCTGAGGCCATTGTCCCCTGGCCAGAAAGGCTTCCAGACTGTCTGTCACCCCCAGTTCCATCCAAGCGTTGCTGTCCCCACAGGAGACCTGCTTCCCATCACACCAGCCCTGTCCATTGTCTTCTGAATGTTCTGTGGGACATGGCCTCCCAACCAGACTGTGCTGTGCCCACGGACACGACCCAGGACACAATCCTAATTTGAGATTCGTGACACAAATGCTCAGAGTCTGTGGGTCTGAGGTCCCGTCCTGGTTTTCCTCTATTGTTCCATGAGCCTGGAGAGGACACTTAGCCTCTCTGAGCTTTAGTGCACTCACATGGGACAGTAACAGGGACAGTATCTTGTGCTGCCATTCTGAGGATCGGGTGAAGTAACAGGGCTTATGGCGGAAAGTAAACCACAGACCGCTGTTTATAAAGCAAATACAGGCAACAGCAGGTTGAGGGAAAGAGCCAGAGAAGTGTTGACTCCCAAGGTCTCAGCAGCAGGACAGCTGCGGCAAGGGCTGCAGGCTGGAAAAGGGCATGGGGCTGTGCCCACATCTCTCCCAGGCCTCTCCAGGCACTTGCCAGGGGAGAGAGACAGATCAGAGCTCCTGGGGGCCACTCTGGGACACATGTCAGAACCCTGCTGTCAGCCTGTCCCCTCTGGGTTTCCTGTCTCATCCAATTCTTCAACATCCCAGATGGGAAATCTAGGACCAGAGGAGTCTGGTGACCTGCCCGAGATTCTGGCTGGGTCCCTCCCCAGGTGGGCCTGTCTCCCTGGGTCTCTGGCTTCAAAGGTGACCCTCAGCAGACCCCAGCTCCATGGTAGTCTCTGTTCCAAGCTTCTACCACCCTCCCAGGCCTGGGAACCCCACCAAGGCCCTTTTGGCTCCTCACAGTGGGTGTCTCCAGGCTGGGCTCGCTGGCCTCTCAGCTATACGTTGGGTGAATAAAATGCATTACTGTGGGCCAAGTGGGCTCGGGCTCCCTGGCTTGCGCAGAGGGGAAAAAGGGACAGGCGCCCAGTGATTAGCTCAGGCCCCGGCCCTCATCAAGGGAACACCAGGAGGAGAGCTGCAGCAGAATGGGGCCCTCCCCCAACTGCCTCTCTCCTTCTGGCCCCACTCCTGGGATAAGACTCACTTCCCACCCCCTGCCAACAGCTGTGGCGGGAGGGGCTGAGCCTCTAACTTCTGGTGTGGCCTAGCCCCCTGGATCCTGACCCTTCTGCACTGCTCCCCAACTCCCAGCCTGCACCTCTGCTCTCAGAAATGAAGGAGCCCCTGGAAGACCATCCTGGAAATTCCCCCTTATCCCCGTAGGCACTGAAAACCCTGCCCTCTGGGTCCTGGGAATCCCAAAGACTAAAGGCAAGGCCTTGAGTGGGGCCTGGCTCTGCC